GTCCTGAAGCCTCACCAGGTGCCCTGTGTACTCCTCAGGACTCCCTAGAAAATGACATCATCACCCCCCAGCTTGCTGCTGGAGAGCCCAGGGCTCTGAGACGTCGGCCACCCGGCTAACGTCACACAGCGGCGGCCGAGTGTCGGGCCTGGGGTGTGAACCCAGGTCTGTCTCAGAGTCTGAAGCTCTTCCCATCCCTGAGGGAGGCAGGATCCTCACAGTGTCCCAGGCAAAGGGAATGGTTTTCCCAGTGGCGCCCGGCGCCCCCCACCTTCGAGACACAGAGAGGCTCACGGCTAGCCTCACGTTCCAGCCGCACCTCTCTCTGACGTGGAACCCATGGGCAGGCTGGTTTGTGTCCTTGAAGACAAGGCCTTCTTTGCCACGCTGATGGTGGTAAGAGTAACAACAGTAATTTCCAGACAACAAGATGCCAGGTCCTCTGGGGCACATTATCTCAAATCCTTATAAGAATACTTTCCCCCCGGGGCGGGGCATGTCCCCATTTTACAGAAGAGGCTCAGGTAGGTGCCAGGGCTGTGTGGTCCTTAGCCCGGCTCCAGTGGACAGGGAGGGAGGATGCCGAGAGCCACTAATCACATACCCCAGAGGAGATCCTCACAACCTGCTTCCCCCACTGGAGAGAAAAGCCGGCAAACAAATTAGGCTACTCCAGCCCAGGGCCTGGGGAATACAGGGTGAGCCAGGAGTCAGCTGTGAATAATGCCTCCGTTCACAGACGACTGCAGCCTCAGGAAGGCCTTTGCTTACCCTTCCGCCTGCAACCAAGGTGCTGAGGTTAAATGGAGAGGTGCCCTCCTAGGGGCCAGAGGGTCCCCAGGTCCCCAGGCTTGGGCTGGCAGATTGAGCCCTTCAGCCCTCAGACCCCCAAGGAGAGCACTATGGAGGCCTTTTTACAAGACGTCACGCTGGCCCTTCCTTCCAAAGAGAACCGTTTCCCAGGCAGGCCCTTACCCCAGGGTGGGGGCGGGGTGCCTGCGGCCCTGGGGAGTCCGGTGGAGGCTGTGCCGGCTGGGGTACCCGCCGGCCCGGCGGAGGGGGTCCTGCTGGGAACTGGCACCCTGCGGTAAGGCCTACAGGAGGCCTCCCGAGCTGGGAGACGCAGCAGCCAGAAAAGACTGGGGCCCGACTCTGCTCTTCTCCTGCACCACACCCGGGCCCTGACGCTGCCGGTGCTCCAAGGGGAGGTGAGCCTCCCAGGAAGGCCCTTCCCGGTGTAAACACTTCCAAGGAAAGGAATGTGCCGGGAAGCGCGGGGCTGGGCCACTGGAGCTCCGTGCAGCCAGCTGGGGTAAATTAAAAAAAAAAAAAAAAAAAATCACCCCGGGACTCTGACGGCTTTTTGTGAAACTCAATCAAAGCCTCGTTGCCCCCTCCTGCCGAGGTGGGTGCATCCTACCTGGGCAGGCGAGCCCAAAGGGATCCTAGCAGGCTCAGCGGGGCCCTGGGACTGCGGCGGAGAGTCCAGGGCGCCCGGGCGGGCCCTGCTGGTGGAAGGGCGCCACCAGCCCCGGGCTGGGTGCACGGCCCGGGCCGGAGCCTCACATTGCTCGGCGCACGCAGGCTCCCGCTTGCACACCGATGAGTCTCAGGTCGCCAGACCTCGGAGCTGTCTTACAAGCGATTAGACTCCATTTTGTGACAGATTTTTGGACTCTCCCGCCAACCCTCCCCCCTGCCGGAGCCTCCTCCAGGAATTCGCCACCTCCTCAGGATACAAACCCTTTCCAGACGAGCGACAAACGGCAAGAAAAGAGTTACATAATTCCGCTGGGCCAAACCTCCAAGAGAAAAACTGGGGGACGGTATGTTGTCATTTATTCGTGTGTTCTCCGGTGGAGGAAGGAGAGGGGCGTTCGTGATTTTGCATTTGGAGGCCACATCTCCTCCCGGTTTCTAGCCGGGTTTTCTGTCCGAAGAGCTCGCGCTGCCGAGGGGCCAGAGCCTCGGGCACAGGAGAACAATCCGATGCTTTGGGTTTTTTCCTTGGAAGGAGGTCCCCCCAAAATGCATAGGAGCGAAAGGAGACTTTCGAGTTAGGCATGAAAATGCCAAATGCCGTGGTCCCTGCTCTTTTTGCCGGTGCAGGGCATGCCGGTAGATTTTTATCAAGTGCTATTAAATTCGTCCGAATGTCAATTAATTACCCCCGTGGTGCGTAAAATAACGCTGCGTTTCTGGGTGTCCAGGATCTTTGAAAACAAATCGAGTGGAGAAAGAGAGCTTAATAAAAACAGCCACCTCTTTCTAAGAACCAAGTCCCGCTGCTCCCTGCCGGGAGGACACGTTTTTCAAAAGTTACGGTGGTGGGGGGATTGTTAATTTCCCAATACCGCTGACGCACAGACAAGACAAAATCGAGAAGGCACGTTTCTGTGCCCACTTGCCTGGATTCTCGTCTGAAAGCATTTACGCACAGATGCAATAAATATGCCTCTGCGATCCTCAAAGAAAAAAAATAAATCGTGAAATATATTTTTATTGTGCAAAGAATAGTGCTTCCCTGTGAGCTCCTGCATGCCTGGTTGCGCTGACTCTCCCTGAGAAACGCTGAAGAGACCTGCCCCGGGAATTTGTCCCCAAGATTGTCTTGATAACAAGCCCTCCTCAGCTCCCGACCAGCCCGCCTAGTGCAGGTACCTAATTGGCGTTACTGGAAGAAAGAGGGGGTGAGGGAGGAGGGGGCGCCGTGAGGGCAGTGAATGATGCCCGCCCCGAGGCTGCAGCCCGGCAGGACCCAGACTCGGGACCTGAGATTTGCTCTATTCCAAAACTCACTCGCCCACAGGCCCCTGCTGCCCTGAAGAAGAAAGCGCCCGGGCGCCTTTTTTCTTTTTAAAACAAATATACTTTCTGACAAAGAGATCGCAAATGTTTGATTGTTTTGTAAAGTGAGGGGGTTGGTCACTCAGTCTAAGGGGTAGTAACATCCAGTTGAGATTTTGTGACTTTACTGTTCTGTGCTTTGAAGAACCAGGGGTACCATCCTCTCCTTGCTTTAAAAAGAAGCTCCACAAATGACTGGGGTGGGGGTGAGGGTTGAGGGGTGGAACGAGCAGATTTGCACAAGAGGTCGGAAAGAGCATTTCCAACACCTAAAACAATTTCAGAAACCTGCACCAATGACCCAGAGGCCCATTCCAAGTTTCCCGAGCCTCCTGCCCCCACGTGTTGAGTTGTCCAGGCCGGTGGCTGAGCTGAGTGGGAAGTGGCATTGCCAGGGCCTCGCTCAGGCTGGGCAGGCAGAGCAGCGAGGGCTGCAGGACGGCAGGACGTGGGTGGGCTGGAGGCTGGTGAGCCCAGCCGAGGGGCTGCTCTCCAGGCCGGCCCAAAGCTGCCGACCACGTTTACCCCAAACCACTTTCCCCATTTCATCTGTGCTTCCCCATGCCTCTCTGTGGCTGAGCTGACTGGCAGCCTCACCTTCTCCTGCAACTAGAATCCCATCAGCCCAGGGTAGAGGGCAAAAGCGATGAACGGCAGTGTGCCTAACCGGGGGTGCTTCATACAGTGCGGGGGTTGGGGGGGGGGTGCTCCGCTGGGCTCCAGGACCAGCAAAAGAGTTGACTCTGGGAACCTGACCCCAGCCCATGCCCGCAGAACCCCCAGCCAGCAAGAAGAGCGAGGTACAAAAGGCACCTCCTGCTAGGCCCCCAGACCAGGGGAGCACAGCCAGAGTGGGCCCTAGGGTGGGGCTCAGCTAGTGCCTTTCAGAGTAGAACCCGATGCCCTCATGAGGGCTCTGGCCTCCGCCAAGCAGTGGAGGGGCACGCCAGCTGCTCCAATTCCCATCAGAGCCTGCATTTAGAGAGTCCCTGGGCAGAGCAGGTAGGCTCCACCGACCACCAGGCACTGGCAGCCCAGAGGCTTGGGCACACACAGTCCCCTCCAAGCCCCAAACCATCTGAGCAGCCTCCCCACCCTGGAGCTCCATCTGAAAGAGTTTTCCAGGCCTCACCAGAAAGTTGCCACAGGCACCCACTTGCCTCTGCAATGCTGCCCTAGGGATCCCCACATTCCTCTTCTGGCTGTTACAACTCTCTGCCTCCTTCTCAATCAGAGTGCCAGGCACAAAACCCAGACTGGGGCGGGAGACGCATCTACTAACAGCTGCCCCAAGCCCCTTACCAGACAAATCCACAGCCTCAGCTATAAACAAAAGTCAGCAGGTAGAACTCAACCCACAGCCTATGGCCTCAACCCTGAGGCTTGAGCTACACCAGGGCAGAGCAGGCCGCTCCTCCCCAACATGTACACATTGCAAAACAGAAAGCCTGCTGGGGATGGCTGAGTCGGTCAGCTCCCCACACCCGTGGGGAGCCCCAGGTTGTGGTTTGCCACCTCTTGAGGTCCTCTTCCTAGACAGCTTCTCCAGCCAAAGAAAATTGTAAGTGCAAGATTCCCGCATGGAACGGTTTTGGGAGGATGGACATCCTTTTCTCCCCATCAGGGACTAAAAGCGCAGCAGGGCGCCTGGCACGACAGGGGTGTGAGGGGCTGCTCAGGCAGTTCAGCACCCCTGCACGCCACCTCCTTGCTCCAGGATCCCGACCGAGCCCCCACAAACCCAGCCTTTGGGCCGCAGAAGCACACCACCAGGGCCTGACTCCCTAAAGCACTGCCTTCGCTTGGAAGTCAGTTCTTGGTCCCCAATTCAGGCCTCCCAGGACAGCAGCATCCATCCCCCAGTCGGCCCAGGGCCTTGTCCTGCACCCCAACTCAGCCACCCAGCCAAGGTTTTCTGGACAAAGGACAGCAACTAGGAGCTGCTGGAAGCTCGCGGCCACCTCACTAGTGTCGTCCCGGCTGGGATGGTTCGCTCCTGCCGGAGACACGCAGCCCGCGGAGCCCTCGGAGCTGACTGGCCCAGCGGCGCACAGGGCCGGCTGCAGGGTGGACGTGGGCCCGGCCTGGCAGGGGGTCGGCCAGGCTCGAGTGCAGGGCGGCGGCGGGGAAGGAGGAGGACTAGAGGCGCTTACTGTTGGTAGTCTTGTTTGCAGTACAGTTTCCGATCCCGGAAGTAGCAGCTGGTGGTGAGGGCTTGCTGACACGCCGCGCACTGCAAACACTCCTCGTGCCAGGACGACTCGTTGACTCGCATCAGGAAGCGGTCGGAGATGGGCCGCTGGCAGCCCTCGCAGACGGCGGGATGCGGGCAGTCGGAGCCTGCAGCGCACAGGGCGAGAGCCGAGCCGTCAGCGCCGACAAGCCCGGCCCCGGCGTCCCGGCCGCTCGGTGCCCGGCTCCAAGGGCGAAGGCAGCCTCGGAGCAATGCCCGCCGCGCCAAGGGCCGGGCAGCCTCAGCTAATTCGTCCTAGTCCGCGGACTCCGGCGCCGAGAGGCCGCGGGCGGCGAGCCTTGGCTCGGCGCTGCGCTCTCCCCTTCTCCGGAGATCCAGCGCTCGGTATTTAACACGTGCGAGAACGGGTACGGCGCCGGGTAGCCGGCTGGGACCGACACAGGCGAGGTGAGGCTGGGGCGCTCGCTGGCTGACACGCCCCACAGTGGTTTACGTGGTTTTCTGTCCTCAACCTCCCCGAAATCTGTGATTCGGATGACTCAGGGGACATTTTTCTTTTAGAAGTTCCCCCTCCCCAAGTGACCTGGCACTACTCCCAAGCTTGCCAAGGTGACTACTTGGGTCCTCCGTCACGCCCGCCACCCGTCTCCTACCTCCCGCCCAGAGTGGCATCTACAGATCCGAGGCCGGACGAAGATGCCGGGGGTGGAGGCTGGAGCTGCCCTGTCTTTCCTCCTCCTGGGCGATGTCCCCGCATCCCTCTGTCCCCACAGGATGCCAGCCTAGCTTGTTGCCCCTCTGGTGGTCACTCCAGAAGTTTTCTGCGTTCCCCCACATCCCCATGTCCTGCAAACCACTTCCTTTATCAGTTGGCCTAGACGCCCGCTTCCACCTCGGGACAAGGCCCCTGTCCCCTGCCCGCGGCCACTCGGGCGTCCCGACCCCGCACTCACCCAGCAGCACCCCCAGAGTGGCGGGTCCGGGGCGCAGGGCGTGTTCCTCCATCTTGATGCCGTCCAACATCTTGGCGCAGTCCGTCTGCCCGCGGGGGAAGCACCTCTCCAGCGATTCGGGACCTGTTGCTATATCCATGGGACGCGGGGCGCGCTGCGGGCCCCGCCGGCCAGGGTGCTCGCCCGCCCGCCCGCCGGCCCGCTCGCCGCCGCCGCCGCGGCCGCGGCCCCGGAGCGGGAGAGGCGCGGCCCCCGCGGGGTTGGGGCTGCGGCTGGGGCCGCCGGTTGCCCCCAGCGATCGTGCAGCGGCGACGCGCTAGACCCGGGTCCCGGCGTCGTGCTGGCGGGCCGGGGCGGCTGCCGTCCGAGCCGCGCTCTCCCGGGCACTCGCACCCACGCGCGCCGGCTCCTCTGTCACCTGCTCGTCAGCCCCGGAGCCGGGTTGCAGCGGCGGCGGCAGACGGAGCCGCGGGGAGGAGACGGCGGCGGCGGCGGTGGCTGCGGCGGCGGCGGGCGGGGGAGGGGGCGGGGGTGCAGGGGCGGCCCCGCGGGCTGGGGGGGGGGCGCGGGCGGCGCAGCGGGGTCCCGGGCGGGGCGCAGCGGGCCGCGGGGCTCCCGGCGCGCTCCCCGCACTACTCCAGTGCCATGGTGCGCCCGAGGAGCCGCTCGGTTTAGAGCTGGGGCTGGCGGCGGAGGGATACTCCGGCCGGGAGCCGCCTCACCCCTCCTCAAACTTCCTGACATTTGAACTCATTGGAGCGCCTCGTATCCCTGCGCCGGGATGAGCCGGCGGCTCCACGTCAAATAGTGCCGTCGCCACCCCCCCTCCCCGCGGGAGGGCTCCCCGCGCCCCCGGCTTGCGCCCCGCGCGGCGCCTGGCCCAGGGTACCGGCTCGGGAGACCCGGCCAGGACGAACGCCCTGCTGGCCCCTCTCAGAAGTTTGGATTGTCCTCCAAACAAATCCTTCTGCCCCACCCCCTTGAAAAATTGATTTGGGAGTTGGGGAATGAAGGCTTTCTTTTTTCTTTCTTGCCTTCTTTATTATTAATATTTTGTAAAGCTTCAGCGCTGAGAGGAGTGGCCCCGAACGCGGCCAGACTGCGCGGACGGCAGGGAGCGCAGAGGCTCCACCGGGGGACGGCGCCGGCCGGGGACCCCGACTGTCGGCCGAGGTAGGTCGCACCGAGCTGAGTTGGCGTCCCCGGGCCGCGGCGCCTTCCCGGGGCCGGTTTGGTCCTCAGAGAGGGTTAGCTGCCGGGATTGAGGGACGTGGACCGGCAGAGAGGGAGGGCAGCTGGCCCAGGACTTGCCAAAGGGGTCCCTGGCCCATGGAGAAGGTGTGGGCCCCGGGATTGGGGTGAGGGGTCCGGGAAGCGTTCGGACGTGGCAGAGATTGGGTGGAGAGGTGAGCGAAGATCGTGGAGGGGCCCCAGGATCTAGAATAGGGGACATTGGACAAGCGAGGAAGGCGAAGCCGGGTTTAGGCGGCGGAAAGTTTAGAGGACGGTTAGGTCTGGGAAAGGGCGTCCCCGGGCTGGAGCGGGAACCGTGGACGAAAACCTGGCCTCGAAGGATTTCGAGTGGGCAGGGGGTGGCGGCTCCAGGTCGGGGACAGACAGTCCGGGACAACGTGTATCCCGCCGCTCGAAGGCAACCGGATTGGCCGCTGGAACAGGCGACCTTTGGTGGTGGAGGGACCCAGCCAGGGGTCGGTAGGCCGCGTCCGGCGGGGACAGCGCCATGAGAGGCTGGGCAAAGTGGGCCTCCGCACTGGGGAGCGGCAGGCCGGCGAGACCAAAGCGGCCGACTCCGGAGCCCGCGAGGCCTGGCACCCGCGCGCGCTGCGCAGGCCCCTGCGTCGGGCTGCAGTGCCCCGCGCCGCGACCGGCTGTGTCTTCGGCCTCGAGGGCCCCACGGGGGCGCGGCTCGCCGGGGAGCAGGGGGGAGCCGTCTTGGGGCAGGCGCGGGCTGACCCTGCGAGCTGTGGCGGGGCGGCCCCGGCCCCTCCGAAGCGGGGCAGCGGCGCGAAGCGGGGCGGGGGCGGAGGGCATGGGAGGCGGGTCCCCTGACCCCGCTGGAGGCGAGAGGGCGGATCGGATTTGGAGCCTGCAGGAGGCTTGGTCAAAAGTGGCCCCCTGTGCCGTGGGGCCCCGCGGAGGGGCCCGGCTTTGTGGAGGATTAGGGCCTCCCGCCCCACCCCGGTACCTGCGTGTGTGTCGGTGGGGATCCATGTGTGTCTGTGCATGTCGATGTTCTGCACTCTGAGGCTCTTGCGTGTTTTTCACCCCTGTTTTTGTGCACGTAATACAATATTTCTGTGTCCCTGCGAGTTCCTGGGCATCGAATGTGTGAACCCGTGTCCTGTTCCCCTGCATCCGTGTGTGTCTGTGAACCTGAGGGTCCTGCTTTGCCTCTGTGTCTTCCGTGGTTTTGTAGGTCTTTGTGTGTATCCCTGCGTCTGTGTCACTCTATGCGGGCACGTATGTCTTTGTGCGTCGTCGCTCAGCCTCTGTATTGTGTCTGGGTTCCTTTTCTGTTCGTGTGTCGACGTGTCCCCTTTGTGTGTGCGTGTCTCCGAGTTTCTGAATGATTCTGTGTGCTCGGGTGGCTCAGAGTTTTAGGGGTTTGTGGGTGTATGTGTATGTGTGTGTGTCTATCTCCGTGTAGTTCTCGTTTTGGGGGAGGAGGGTCTATATCCAGGACAGCGGACGAAGGGATGTGGAGTTTTTCTCATAGGCCCTTGGTCCTCAGTGTGAGCAAACCCCAGGCCTCGGTCTACCCAGGCTTCCCAGGGCTGCCTTCTCCTGGTATCTGGGGCGGGGGCCGGCGGCTGCCAGGAGACGCGGGCGGCCCGGCGGCGCAGAGCCGGGCGCAGGGCTGTCGGACCGATCGGACACATTCTGCCCTCTGCTGGCAGCGCCACGTCCCTGCACCTGCTGTCTGGCGAGGAGGTGAGAGGGTCCCTGTTCCAGGCCCGGACCCTCGCCTTCTTCAGAGCGCACTCGGAAATCCTCTCCCAGCACAAGCCCTGCAGACCCACCGCGGACCCCAGGCTCCCGGGGCAGCCTTCCGTTCCCCTCCCCTGTCTCTCACCAACCCCCTTCCTTGTGTCCGGCTTCCTCCTCTCCACACTTCTCTTCCCCTTTTCGGCTGAATGGGGGCCTCTGAGACTTATCTGACCCTCTGCGGTGCGTCAAGAACCCGGTCGGGCCGCCGGCTGTGTACAGGTCGCGTTCCTGGGTCCCCGGGCTGGCTGGCTCTCTTCGCAGGGAGCCGCGCCGGCTGACCCACCGGGTGCGGGTGGCTGGTGTATCCTGGGGCGCAAAGAATTTTAGCAGGTCACTTCGCGCCTTTGCCGGCGTAACGGCCCCGCACCCCCGGAGCAGGCATTGGGAGGGCCAAGGGTGGCGCTCAGAGCCACCTCGCAGAAGCCGAGGGTACTGGCGAGGGCTGTCCTCGCCCGTCCGGAAGGCAGCTGCTTAGTGCACAAACCTGGAGTTCCCTCTCCCCGTCCTATCTGCCACTGCCCACTCATCCGCCCCCACTCGGGTACACCCTATAGGTCCTGTTCCTTGCCCTTTGCCCCTGCTCTCCAGGTCGCTCAATCCCCCGCTGAGCCTGAGGTCCCGGGTCTTTCGCACACAGACGCGCAGGGGCCCCGGGCCTCCCTCCGCACAATCGTAGCGCCTGCGCCTCCCGACCTCTTCCCCCACTGAAGAAGCGACAGACTGGACGACAGCACCGGGGTCTAGGCCCCGAGTAGGATACAACTCTTGGGCAGCGACCCCCTGCTTTGCCCGACAGCAGCCGGGTCATCCGGTGCTTGCGGATCGGCGGGAGCGACCCTGGACCCACCATGCGGACGCTCAGGCCGATCCGAGATTCCCTCTGGCGCGGACTTCAGCGGCAGAAAAAGCTTCAGATTTTCTCCACCTAAGGGAAGACCCATTCGGCTGTGCGGAATCGCTTGGAAAAAAGGAAAGCCAGAGAGAGGAGCTCTAGGGTGGGCGTCTGGGCTTCCCAAATCCTGTGGATGCGCCCATCTTCACTGAGCCCTCCCCATTCCTCCTTGCTCCTTTTCTTAGTGCCTTGCGCCCCTTCCCCCATGCGGGAGCTACCAGCGTCCTGTGCTCACAACGCGCCCCCCGCCAGCCCGGCATGGAGGCCCCGTGCACCCCCCTCCCTGCCCTGTGCTTTCTGACCAGATCCCAGCGCCAGTCCCCTCTCAGTTTACAATTCTAGCTCGAGGCAAGGATCCTGGGCCGGGATGGAGTAGAGGGTGCTGCCCGGGCCCAGTGCGGTGGGGCAGGACGGTGCAGACGAGGAGCTACGTGGATCAATGATTCCATTCTGCTGGAGAGCCACTCAGATCCATGGGAGGCAGCCAGCTGGACCTGAGCCTCTCCAAGCCGTGGCCTGGGCTGGGAATCGTTCTTCTCAGGAGGCAGCTGTGGGTCCGGAGACCTGAGAGCTCTGGAAGGGAGCGGGACGGCACTGGGAGAGGCTCCCACTCTCTCCTCCTCCAACCAAAGGGGTGCTTGGCCCCAGGACACATGGGTCAAAGGCTCAGGCTCCTTCTCAGCTAGCAAAGAGATGACCGTGCGTGATAAGTAACCCTGTCACCTCCCCACAGTCCAGGGAAAAGTGTCTGTGGTCTTGTGCTTTCTGAGAATTCAGAGCCTTGAGTTGGAGGTCCAAGCTGTGGTCCCTTTGACTCAGGGTTGGGAGCAGGCTCTCTCCCTTCTGGGGTTTTCTAGGCCCCAGGGAGAGGTGGCAGAGGATAGGATTTTAGGCAGAGTTTGCTGGGGAGGCACCATGTGGGTGACTGACTGAGGCTGTGTGCTCGTTAGCGTGCGCCTGTGTGCGAAGTGGAGGACCGCCCAGTTCCTCTGTTCTCTGCAGCTTGGCCCCACCCTCCACCAGCTGGTGGGGTCTCTGGCCACAGACCCATGACTTTTCAGCACAAGGTCTGGGTCATTAGTCATGAGATTCCTCCCTGGTGGGTCAGGAGACTGGGCTCCCTCAGATCCAAAGAGTGCAGCCAGCCCAGGGCCGGTGCTCAGGGAGGGACAGTGCCCTGGGCAGGTGGCCCAGGGCTGAGGTCTTCCAATGGCCAGGCAGGGCATGGGAGTGGTCAG